AGGTACGTGCAATTCTTGAATCTTTTAATATTCCTTTATCTGCTTATGATGCTGAAATTGTTTCGTTTGATGATACTGTGGCTTATTTTGATTCTGTTATTGTGTCTGCTAGTAATGAAGCTAAGAAATTGAATGTGCAACTTAGTGAGACACAAAGGGAATTAAAATAAAGAAGAGCAGGGTAGAAAAATTAGAATTGCAAATCAAAAACATAGATTGTGATAGGAATAATCTTTCGAATGATGTTAGATTGTTACTAGCACAAAGAAACATCTATTGTAATTCAGCTAAAAGGTTGTATGCAAAATTAACTGCTTTACATCATTCTTCTGATATTAGCAAAGAACAACATAGAAAACTTCTACCTTTTCTTGAATATGAGCGTGAAAAAGTTGATGTTGTTTCTTATGATTGCAAAAGTACAATTGCTCAATTTGACAAAATACCGAATGATAGATATTCATATGGTATTGTCAAAATTGATGAATTTCTGAATGCTGATGAGTTGGTTAACATTGTAAATGAAAGTTTGACAAAAAGTGAACAAGTGAAAATCTTAAAGAAAACCAAAAAATTCAACTCTTACTTCGCAATTTAATTATGCTGCTATTGATGAAAATTATGATAATGTGAGTGAAATCAGTGAAATTGAAGAAGAAGAAGAAGAGATTGATTGTTCTCAATTGTTAATTGTTAATATCACATCTAAGATCAAAGGTAAAGAAATAATAGTTGATTCAATAGTAGAGGATAAAGTTGATAAATCTTCAACTTCGCAACATTGTCAGTTTGATAATGTGGAAGCTGAAAGCTGGAAATCTGATGATACTAATGAAAATAAAGAAGAAAAACAAAATTCAACTGGAACACATCAAAGGGTTGTGGTTGATCAAGTGTTTGAAAATACAAAAGAATTTGACAAAGTTTTAAATGACAAAGGCGCACATTATTTGGAAACCAACACAGTGGTATATCCAAATTTTGTATGTACTGATAAAACTATTTTTCCAAATCAAGTTTTTGTCACTACTGGAAATGCTGAGAAAATTCGTCCTGAGTTCAATAAAATGGTTGAAAAAGACAATCAAAAGTCAACACCTAAAGGTTTCTTCGCAAATCAAAACACAGTAGAAAACAATTTAACTCAAAATTCTTATGTGTTTCAAAAACAAAAATCATTACAAAAATGGGTGGTTAAAGGTGAAAAATCAAACAAATCTTTTGAAAAAGTTGAAAAATCAAAGGTTGAAATGAAATTAAATTCTCAAGAATTCAAATTGATGGTTGAAACTTTTTCAACAGAAAATAATGTTTCAAAAAGACAAGCAAGAAAAGCAATATTTTGGCAAGTTGTGAATAATGAAAAAAACAAATTTCAAAAACATCGTCAAAATTTCAAGATAAAAACACTACACAACTTCGAGTTTTCATAAACAAATAAATTCTGTTGATAAGGTTTCATATATTCGCAAATATGACAACAATAGAAAATTTGAGAATTCGCAAAAATTTGCAAATAATCAAAAGTTTCCAAATGTTGACAAATTCACGAATAATTCATCAAATTTGAAGAAATCAAATCAAGTCAAAGCGAAATTTTCACCACAACAACCAAATTTTCCAAATCCTTCAATATCATCAAAAACCAAAGTTTCATACATCAAAGGAAAGACTAATGTAAATATGATCAATAATTGGTTTGAGGGGAAAGGTAAGAAATATCAAAGTGCAAAGTTTTCAGAACAAGAAATAAAAAATGCCTTTGATAAATTTGCAAATAATTCTTCAACTGCTAGTACATCATCATATAATTCGCAAGTTCCGGTTCAAAAATGGAAACCAGTTATCAAACATGCGAATGTTGTGAAGGATAGATTACTATCAATGCAATCAAGAATCCAAAACTATTGGAATGACTATAATTTCAATATCTACAACTGATGATGCTGATATAATGGATTCAGTTACAAACAAAGTGAAAACATGGTTTTTAAGTTCCAAAAAGTTGTTTCATTCTACTAATGATGGACCCAATAAGTCTTGGGTTCCTAAATTCTTTCATTAAATGCAGGTGTTATGTGACGAGCAATATGATCCAAAATGGTATATTGATAGTGGTTGCTCTCGTCATATGACTGGAAGAAAGGAAAACTTGCGAGATTACCGAAGCTTGGAGAATGCTGGAGTTGTCAAATTTGGAAATAATCACAAGTGTCAAGTGAAAGGATATGGGAAAGTCACAAATGGAAACTTCACAGTAAACAGAGTTGCTTATGTTGAAGGACTTCAACACAATTTGATTAGTGTATCACAACTTGTTGTGGGTACTGGAAATCAAGTAGTGTTTAATGAAGAAGGAAGTATCATTCAAATGCAAAACAAATGAATACTTCTGAAATCCAAACGATATGGTGATATGTTTACATTGGACATCAAACCAATTGTGGGAAAACCAGCTGTGTGTTTACTATCAAAAGCATCAAATGATCTCAGCTGGCTTTGGCATCGAAGATTATCACATTTGAACTTTCGAAATATAAATAAACTTGTAACTGAAGATTTAGTTCGAGGTTTACCAATATTAAAATTTGACAATGATTCTTTATGTGCAGCTTGCGAACAAGGAAAACAACATCGAAAAGGTCATCCGATTGTCATAGATTCAAAGATAGTAGATCCATTGGAACTTCTTCACATTGATCTATGTGGACCATCAACTGTTGCAACAATAAATAAAAAGCGTATATTTTAGTTGTTGTAGATGATTTCTCTAGATTCACATGGGTATTTTTTCTCAGGTTGAAATCTGAAGTTGCTCAGACGATGATTGATTTTATCAAAAAGATTGAAATTAGTTTGAAAAGAATGTACGAAAATTAAAAGTGATAATGGTTCAGAGTTTAAAAATCAAACTCTTGACCATTTTCTTACAAACAAAGGTATTTCGCATATTTCTCATCACCATATACTCCACAGCAAAATGGTGTAGTTGAAAGAAGAAATCGATCTCTATGCGAAGCAGCCAGAACCATGCTCACATATGCGAATCTACCTCAATATCTTTGGGGAAGCTGTATCCACAGCATGTTTACTCAGGATCATTCATTCACAGAAGATTCAATGTTACTCCATATGAAATAATCAATAATCGGAAACCTAATGTAAAATTCTTTCATGTTTTTGGTTGCAGGTGTTTTATTATGAATCTCAAAGATAATTTGTCAAAGTTTCAAGCAAAAGCTGATGAAGGCATCTTCTTAGGATATTCACAGAATTCAGTTGCATACAGAGTGCTTAATAAACGAACAAGAAAAATTGAAGAAACTTTCAATTTAACATTTGATGATTACTATCTTAAACAGATTGATAGTAAATTCGATCAGAAACCAATACTTGTGGATTCAAATACTCAAATTGATAATTCTGAAATTAATGATTTTGATTATGACTTAATTTTTGGAATTCCTGACAGGGCAATTGATGCAGAAGATAATGCTCTTGATAATCAAACATCAGAATCTTCAAAACATACTGATGAATCAACAACAACTTCAACGATGATAACTTGTGAAAGCATACCAAATGCTCATATGGAGGAGGAACACACAAGTGTTCATGAAGATTTTATACCAACTTTTGAGGGGGAGCATTCACAAAATCATCAAGAACATCAAGTTGAGGGGGGGCATACACAAAATCAACAAGAATATCAAGTTGAGGGGGAGCATACACAAAATCAACAAGAATATCAAGTTGAGGGGGAGCATTCGCAAAATCAAAATGCACATAATTCTGAGGGGGAGTATCCAAATGTAGATCATGTTGAGAGAGGACTTCATGAAATAGAGACAAATAGTCATGATAACAATGCATACTTTCATACATTTAATGATAATTTTTCTGTTGCAGGATCTGAAAATGAAGACATGCATGAAGATGCACTATTAGACTATGATCCAAATTATCCACCACTTGCGAAATGGACAAGAAATCATCCACAAGAACAGGTAATTGGCAATTTACAAGAAGGTGTGTTGACTAGAGCTCAAATTCGTGCGAAAAATGAGGTACTAAACACTAACCAAGAACTTTGTATGTTTAATGTCTTTATTTCGAAAATAGAGCCAAAAACAGTCAAGAATGCTATGGAACACTCAGATTGGGTTGTTGCTATGCAATCTGAATTGGCTGAATTTGAACGAAACAAGGTTTGGAGATTAGTTTCAAACCTTCTATGTTTCGATTGTTGGATTAAAATGGATTTTTAAAACAAAACCGACAAAGATGGCAATATTATTCGAAATAAAGCAAGACTAGTGGTTAAAGGATATTCGCAACAAGAAGGCATTGATTATGAAGAAACATTCGCACCTGTTGCAAGACTTCAAGCAGTTCGCATATTCTTAGCTTATGCAGCTCACAAAGATTTTGATGTTTATCAAATGGATGTTAAATGTGCATTCTTAAATGGAAAACTCGAAGAAACATTGTATGTTGAACAACCACCAGGTTTTGTAAACACTGAACATCCTAATCATGTTTATATTTTAGATAAAGTTGTATATGGGTTAAAACAAGCACCAAGGGCCTGGTACGCAACACTTACAAATTTTTTGAAACAATCTACACTACTAGAAAAAAGGCCTTTTACGACGTGCAAAATACGACGCTCATTGATCTATGTTACGCAAGAGAGAGTGACATTAGAAAAATGTCATCTCTTCAAAAAATTTAAGTATATATGTCGCGTTATTGAGTGCCCTTAGAGTTAGTGTCTAATGTAAAAAACTTAAAAACACGGAGGGCACTTAATGTAAAATGTGCGCCGTCTCAAAATGTCGCATTATAATTTTAGTGAAAGGCGCGCATCTCTTCACAAAAATCGAGGTTACTAATAAAATATCTAACACTCACTATTCATCAGTCACTTCACTCTCTACGATTCTATCCTCTAAGACCTGCTCGCCTCCCCTTGCAGACAACGTCTCCTCCTCCGATCGTTAGGTTACTTCTGTGGCTGATTTCGCCTCGCCGACGACCGTGGGCTCAACTGACATCATTGGAGACTGCTCAAATTTACGTGCCCTAGGTCCGATTAAGGTGTTCCTGTTGAACCGATTTAGGCGAAGTGAACTTCTCGGTTGGCTAGAGAACGCTGTAACAGAAGAGAAAGAGCAGAAGAAAGTCGACACAAGGGGAAGAAGCGCCTGGTAGCCATGAATCTGATGCTAAGTTGAACACATTCAAGGGTTTCTCACCTACTGAAGCTTCTCAAGTCGAACACAAGGTAAAATCTCAAGCTTCTCAAGTTATATGTAATGTTTTTATCCCCTTCTTTCATCTTGCGAACATTTTCTCTGCTTTTTATCCCAAACTTTCACCTTGTCCTCAAGGTGAAGAAAGGATTGGCTAACCGTGTATATATAATGTCAGTTGCCTAAGAAAAGAGTCGAAAAATCCCTCAAAATACTCTTAATCAAACTCCCCTGTGAGATGTTTCTCTTCAGGTTCTTCGAACCCTGGTCTGGTAGAACGTAATTTTTTATGTTTTCTGATTGTACTTATGAAATTATGAAATCGTGTGGTATCTTTCATTTCGATTGGGGGTATGTATGGACGATTTGTAATAGGGATTGAGATTATGAAATCATGGTTGAAGCATTCATTAAACCCTAAATGTAGATGTCTGAGTCGAGATTTATTTTTGAACTGTTGAGAAATTCTGCAAGGACACTTGATCTTCTCAAGAACATAGAAAAAAGTTCTAAGTTGTTTCACTTAATTAGTCAAAAAGCATATTATTCTGGAACCAAAAGACTTGTTAGAGCATATTAAACATTGAAAGTGTATGTATTTATGAAATCAGCCATTGATTCATTTTACATTTTGATCATCACACAACCTCTTTGATAGAAACCAAAATCCAATAACAGATAAATGAAACTCAAATATGAGATATATAGATCTAGGAAGCTATTGGTTACTAAATGGAAATAAGAAGAAATCAGAAAGGAAATCCAAATGATTATCCTCCTGCCCTAATCAGAAAAGTTCTCTCAAGAGAAACTTACTGCCCAAGCTAAAGCCGATACTCAAAGTTACAAAATACTAAATGATTCAATACTCTTAAGAATTAAAAATCTATAAAAAGCTTGCTGTTTGTTTAAAGCATCCAAAGTTTCTTCATTGAGGTCATTACCAGCAGTGATTCCAGTCTTTCCAAACCTCGGAACTCCAAATTCCATTCCAATTGTTTCAAAGAACTTTCTTTTCTCACATGAAAGATAAGCAAGATCACCAAAATCCAACCGAATTCCCCTTGCTTTATACCTATACAAATAAATACATCAATTAACATATTAATTATTATCATTAAAGTTTAAACCTTTTGTATCATAAAATAGAAAAAGACAATAATACCCTAGATCATTTAGTGCTAGAAGAACAACACAAAGTTAGGAACACCACTCTTCATCACTTAGGAAAAAAATTATTTGATAAGTGTTTGCTGACATGCAACCTACGTGGCATGTACTTGGCAAATTATTAAAAGGTTAAGGTCATATAATAACTCACGTATTTGTACTTTCTTACATATATTTTTTTGTTAAAATACTTCAGGCCTCAAGTATTTTATGCAAAAAAAAATAATCCCTGTCAATTTTCATCACATACAAAAAATTTCAGGAGTGAAAATGTAACACCCAACGCAACAAAGACCAGATTACCCTTTGCCTAATGCCTACCTTTTCTTATGACTACCTTCAGCATTTTGTTTTGTTTTGTTTCAAATAGGTGCATAATTTGCAAAAAAAGACAAACACAAAACTGCTGTCTAAAGAAAATTCTGATTTTATTGCAACAAATCTTCTGGCTACAAACAAACAAAACATTCATCTCATCTTGTTAAAAATAAAGTCGATTCTTTTCTGTACACCTGTATCAAACCACTGCCATCTGTAACTTGAAGCTTCTCATTTAACATTGTCTTGTATTCATCATCTCTATCTTCTAAACCACGCATTAGTTCAACCTGTTCAATACAAACACCACATCATTTGTTGGTAATCAACATAAATTTATGATGTTGTGTCTTGTCCTAATGGGGCCCACATCATTAGAGCATATTAAACATTGAAAGTGTATGTATTTATGCTTCTAACTATTTTTGCTTGTAGGACTATTGGCAAGAGGATTAAAAGTGCATTGATCTGGGTGGTAACTACACCAGTATGTGGCTTGGTGTGTGCATCTTACACGGTTAGTATCTCCTCCACTTATTAATTTATTCCTACAAGAAACATTTTCACTTATGATCAAATGCAATTAGGAGTAGAACCTACTTTTAGTCATTTAGAAGGTTGATCTCCTGGTTTCCCATGCAAGTAGGTATGATGGGCACTGCCAAAAAATTAGCTTACATGGCAAAAATTACTATTCTAGCTTTGCATTTTGTATACTTATAATAGGATTGATGAATGAGATGTTCTAGGCTTTGACATAATCTGACTGTGGTTAGTTTCATGGTCACACTAAAGCATAAATGGGCATGATTTCTGAGTTGACAGCATTGCTTGCTTTATGAAAACGTGATTTTTAGTTACTTTAATGAAGTCTTTTCAAGAAACTTACAACATTCGAGTTTTAGAAAGCTCTTAGGCGATTTTAACAACTAAAAAGTCTTTTTAATTGGATTTATGAGTGATTGTGCATTGCAATATGCATATAGTTACAATGAGTTACAATTTTTTTGTTACTTGCTGCAGGCTCAAAGGGTGATAAAGCAACAGTTTCTGCTATAAATTACACTGATATTCCACATACTCAGGTAAGAAAAAGGTATTTATTTTTAATCTATCTATTTTTTAGGGTACATAAAGGTATTTATTTTTAATCTATCTATTTTCTAGGGTACATAAGTTTTTTATTTTTCATTTTCTAATATAGATTCTATTATATTATTTTGATTAAAAATTCATTTTTGTGAATATTCGTTTATCAAGCCTTTTTAACTAACATTAGCCTAACATAGACATACTCTACAAGAGATATATAGCTCAACAGAATGAGATTAAAAGAATGTCATCCAAAAAGCTTCTTGCTACTCTACAAGCAATACATATAACACCTGCACCTCTTCTTTTCTAACAGATCCATCATGTTCACCCTTTAACAGGATTCATACAAATCAATTCAATCATATTATAACAAAAACAATAATTAATCTATAACTAAAGTTATTACAGATAATAAAAACAACCTTGAGAACAGAGAGTTTACCTTTCACAGAAACAGATAATAAAAACAACCTTTTCTAACAGATCTTTTATAGATCTTAGGTACTCACCCTTTCACAGGATTCATACAAATGAATTCAATCATCTTTAAATAATAATAAAATGATAATTAATCGACGTGTGATGAAAATTTTACTAACCTCAATCTGCCACATTAAATCAGGAATGGAAACAAGTAGAAACATCAACTCATTAACCAACAAAGACAGAAGAGAAAGAAAGAAAGAAACAACAAAGAACAGCCATACCTATAGGAAGTTCTTATGCAGTATTAATCACAATTAACATCAAACATAAATATTTATACATTTTTAGAATGTAACTGTCAACTGACAGTTAATACCTAATTATGGCAGTTACTTTCTATCTAACTAACACAACTTTCACTAATTCCCATTCTTAAAAATAGGTGAAACCAAATATCAAATGCATGTATTTATATTTGTAAGATTGGGCTTGGAGCAATCTGTATTTATTAAAGAAAATATTACAGTTAGCTAATTACATATTGAAAAATAAAGCTAATTTTAAACAGATTGACCACCCAAGGGTAAAAAGGTCAAACACATAAATTATGAAGTAACGGGTTTGCAGGTGGTTTTGTGTTGGACACCTATTTAGCCCATTTTAACTTTCAAATTTCTACAAAAGATCATATTCAAAATTTTAAAAGTATTTCTAATTTTCAAATTTTTGTAGAAGTTCATAAAATTTTATACCAAACACATAAAAATATTCAAACAAGCTGAAAAAGTAACTGGATGCTGAAAAAGTAATTGATAACCTATACAGTTTTGGTCCCTGCTTCAGTTTTGTCACTGTACAGTTTTTGGCCCCTGTACAATTTTTTTGTCCCTGTATAGTTTTGGCCCTGTACAGTTTTGTTTTTGCATAGTTTTTTCCCTAAACATGCGTAATCATTATTGCTTTATATGGTAAATAATTATGTAGGTTGGCAACAAATGTTTAATGGATAAATCATGGATATCCTCTAGTAGATTATCAAATGCATATGATGAAGGTGTGAATGCTTTTCTAGAGTTTGCACAAAGGGGGAGAATGTTGATGTATATTGTAAAAGTCGAATAGAGTGTTTTGTATAGTTTCGCATTTTATGTTATTTTACTAAGTCATTTTTGTGCGAAGATAAAATGTATAGACTTAGTATACTTTTTGATGGTTCCTATAAATAGGGACTTAGGCTAGAAGTTGTAAAATGAATGCTTGAACTCACTTCTGCTTAACTCTGTAATCAGACTTTATCAATATAAGATCTGATTAATATTTACTCTCTGTGTTCTTCATCTTAATTCATTCAAATCTATCTTTTCTGTTCTAAATTCTCGATAACAATT